GCGAGATCTGTAAGTTGAAGAAAAATAAGGCTATCTTCATCACAAGAATAACAGGAGAACCAAGTGCAAATATATTTAGATTACATAGTAACTGATATAGCTATGAAGGAACTCTGCATCTCTTGCCTCGAACGAAAAAATGATAAATATTTAAATACTCTAAAATCACCTCTATAATAAATATTTCACCAAAGTATGTAATTAGGAAGATTATATATATAGACAAAAGCTTTATAGCAAGTCATGTGGAAAAGTAGGCGAGTGTAATTAAATGTGGAAAAATAAGGTGCTCAATTGTGGCTTACATCCCCCGCGACCTTGCCAAAATTGTTGAGTTCTACGTAGCCAGTCTCTGGCCTACCCGAGCTAGCGTCAAGAATCGAGGACCGTTGCTCAACACTTCGAAGCCCTGCTGCAGCCTCTTCGATACAAACGGCTTCTGGACTCGCCTCCTCCACTTCGTCATTCTCTTCGGCAAACTTGGCATCGGCTACAGCATTGTTAACCCCTTCGAACGGCGACTCAGGCGGTGGCCGGACTGTTGATATTCTCGCAGGGATTGTGCTTACGACTAGATGGCTAGAGAGCCCGCTTCTTGACCCTGGTCCCCCGATGGGACAAACTTCATTTCCCATAGCTTGCACAACAGGTGAACTAGAATCAGTGCATGTAGAAGATGATAGATAATCAAGCTCACTGGTGAGTCGCCGCTTTTTGTGATGCTTGAAGGTGAGCGATGAGCGATGGTCACCTGTATTTTAATTTGGAGGATTAAAAAACGCATATAAATGAAATCCAGGATCTCATAAGGACCGAATGTAATAAGGAATATTAAGGCTAAATAGAGCCCATAAACTAAGATGAATAAATATAACCGGTTCATTTATTTAGCAGAAACTATATTCATTTTTAAATTGAATAGAAAAATATAGTAACTAAAAATATAAATTCACTAATTTATCCAAAACTAAATTCAGCACAATAAATATCAATTTCCAAAATTCTGGCGTAATAATACCTACAAGAACAAATGATTTAACCCTATAATCATAAAATAGAGTTTTATTTTCCTGAACATTTTAAAGTTTGAATCAAAATCTGATTAGTATGCCACGCGAATTATGAAGATGTCATAAAACTTCTTCCAGCAGGAATATGCTTGCTACAAAATCAACTATCCGAATAAGGAAAAAAGAGAACATCCAAACGATAATATGAAGTTTTAAAAATGCTACAATTGAAAAATAACCCAAAAAAAGGTTTAATATTCTAATAGATTATATAGGCAAGTTACTTTTGTGTGTGTGTGTGTGTCTATTTGTAGGCCTTCATTCAGGACGACTCGGAAAAGTGCTTGGCACTCTAGTAAAGTAAGCTGCTTTCCATTTAGCTTTGGCTTTATTAATAGAATTATTCAAGCTTTAAAGAAATAAGAAATTTTATATAAGATGTTAGTAACAGTAAGCCATGCCAACTCTAGAGTAAGTAGATGTCAGTGCTTTTGGGCAAGTCTTTATCAGTGCTAGTACCTATTTCTCAATTGCTGTCCATAAAACAACTTGATTTTCTTTCAATATATCTCTCCCATCAAAATTTGCCAGCTACTTCATAAAGGAAAGGTCACTTTATAATCTGCTAAAACTAACTATTAGATAGGAAAATGTGTCAACCAAATAAAACTGGTAAGGGACAAAAACGACGCAATTTGAAGAAAATACATTTTTATTTATAGACAAAAAGCAGATATACACTAGCGCTACCTCAAAATTTCATAGGCAGAGAAAACCCCAAAGAATCTAGTTTAATGCAAAAGGCAAGAAAAGAAAGTCAGACAAATAAAACGAAGATTAAAGCTAACTCGGAGAGCGAGAGGAGAAAATAGGGAAAAAAATTATATGCGCAGAAACTAATTTAACTAAGCCTCTACAAAAATGTGCACTCAAAGGGGATGAGCCCATGTTATAAAAAAATGAATTATGACCTCTGAATCAATGCACGCGACTCAGGAAAGCAAGCATAATTCTAACAATCGTTTAGGTGGACGAGTATTTGTGTAATACGCCAATGACACTTAAATTAGGGTTTAGATATTCTCGAAAATCGCCAATTTGCAATAGCTATCGTAGAACTTAGAATGAGAAGGGTATGTGATGCGACAAGGTTTTCCAGGTAATTTACGAGCTGCTATGCCCAAAAATCACTATTCAACTATAACACGCAAATGTAGCATCTATGCAGTATTGGGTGGACAGGAAAAATAGAGACATAAGGTAAACACTTCTCGTGAAGGAGCAGCGCATAAAAATCCGATTCACACAACCGATACAGTTTATGCGAAGTAAATGCGTCAATAACAAGGAGAATCAACGGAGAAAAGAATATCCATTTTAAAAGGCAAAAGGGTTGAACTTAGGTCAATGCACCATCTTAGCGCAAGCTTCGGGATATTGCAGGTGGTTGTATAAAGAATAGGCATAGGAATCAGTTTCTCTTGATAAGCATAAATATGAACGAGGAAAGTATGCATAAGTGTAAACTTATGGCGCATATATCATTAAGGAGATATAGCAAGGATGGTATTTGCACATTACAGTTATTTATACAGTGAATAAAAAGAAAAAGAAAAGTTTGTGCTGAGTAATAGATGAAAATTAAATACATTATGAAATAAGGATAATAAACTAAAAACTGCTGGTTTACACGCTTGCATTTACAGTTGTGCACAATATAACAGAATATTAATGCGAAATAAAACTGCAATTTGTGGCAAAGTGATATAACGTTTCCAATCTGAGGTTTCACTGCTCAATCACGATATCCAATAGCTGGGGCCTGATAGACTATTTTTTCGCAAGGTTGAACGAGAAACATGAGAAAATATCAGTGTCGGAGCACGTACATGAACAGTGCATGGGGCATAGGATTGCCTTGAATATCTATTTGTTGTTTGATTGAAATATTTTGCGATATATGGAAATCAGCCTATCAGATCAGAGGAATTGGCCTCTGGCTGCCTTTGATGAACGAGGAAAATTTATGGCCGAAAATAAAATTTCATATGAGGTAGCCAAAACGCACGATACGAAAGAGCATGCAAGAAGAGGAGAAGTATAAAGAGAATACATGGCTAAATGAGGTCAAGTGGGTGCGAAGTCTGGGGGGTTAGTCAATTAACCTGAGACTTCAGAGCTATGATGTAGCGTGGCTGACAAGTCATAATCTAGTCTCATACACGAGTAATTAAAGAGAAGGCTTGATTTCGGCAATGATGTTATTGCATCATATTCTACTAAAGTGCTTTCTTATTCAGAATAGGCTGCAATTAATAATTGGCAATTTCATCGTAGATAGACCAGGGAGTCTTGACTATACCTGAAGGCCGTGTCTATTTTGAAAGCCATCTTGATCTAATGAGGAGCCTGTTTGGCTGTGCACATGCAGAAAACAGTTTCTAATTCTGCTAAAAGTTGTGATACTATCTAAAAGAGGTAGAATCTATAATCTTAACTTATTTTAGGAATATATTTACTGCGAAATAGTTCGTGAAAACATAGCCTGTATCAAGACTAAAAGGATTTCGAAGCCTAGAAGACTTTCAATATACATTTCATAATATCTAAATGAATCGATTTCTCCTATAAAGCTATGTACTCTGGATTAAATAATAAGAAAATCAAGTGAAACATGAAAATGTAATACAGAATAAACAAATATGATTTAGGTAGAATAATGATTTAGATTAAATTTTTAAAATGATTTATACCATACAAATATGGATATACAATCTTTGTAGATAAATTATCCAGTTAGAAAATTATCTTTGTATATGCAAACTAAAAAAGTGTATGAAATCATTATTAGGGCTTCTTTCAGCTTATTTAAAGCCTAATGCTCACTCTGCATGCAAATACGCTAACTAATTCAATTAAACCCGCCAACTAAAATATTAGAAATATTTGTATAATTTCGAGAATTTCGTTTCGAAAAAAATCCTATATGCCCCTCTTATCAATAAAATAAGGGTTTATCAAGCCTAGTCAGCACAAATACCATTCCGAGAAGTTTCCGCCTATGACAATGCTCCACGAGCTTTCGCTGATATGCTATGGCAAAGATCGACGACATGTTCCTGAATGGCGACCTTTGTCGAACTAAACCTTCGATTTTGTGACTGATTGGCCATTGGCTTTCCTAATCGAATAGCAAGAATGGGGAAT